ACGTAGGAAGTCTTGGGGCATATGTATAGCTAGGTATTGGCCTCTAGACTATTGCTAGTGATTTTGAAGCCATGGTGAGTCATTCTCGCTGAGTTTTGAGGCGTTTTGTACGCGGATCACGTGAGATTTCACTCGTGTCATCCCTATATAGAGCGTCTACCGACGCTCTGATATACCACTGCTAAAGCCTTGATAAATAGAACCACGAACAAGAATGATTCAAACACTGCTCTCTTGAATGTGAATAAGCAGCAGTGCTTATTGGTGAGTAGTAATAAGCCAATTTACCTGCAATCACAAGTAGGAGGGTTTTCAATATGATGGGTAAAACTAGCTCAGTGCTCACCCCAGCTCACCTTGTGGGCAAGCCAGTATCTGACCAAGGACGAAGAAAGAGAGCGGGAAACAATCTTGCTGCCTCCAATTCAGACTGTAAGTTCGGGAATTTTCTCGTCTTTTGAACCACAAAATGATGCGTTTGCTAATTAACGTAGTCCAATGAGTCTACGTAGCTAGTAATTTATTGGTACAGAGTCTCACAATTCACGCTTGCAATGTCAGTTTCTTAACCCTAACCACCGGCTATCTGCTTAAGTGCATGCTAGATTCCTTTATCCTCCATATCTCCAGCTTTGGCAACATCTCTGAATACAATCCCTGAGGAAAAAACCTGCACAAGCCATTTTCATAACACCACAGAAACCAGCACAATAGGCATTGAGCCACAACACCCTGACAAAAGCTGATCGTTCTCTTTCCCCTGTTGTCCACACCAACTATACCCTAAATGTGTACTGAGGGTACATGTACTCATGTTTTTGTACCCATGTACCCATGTTTTTGAAAGATCTTTTGTCTGTACATTTTTGAGCATTTTGAAACCCCAACACTTTCATTGTTATCAAAACAGCCTCCACAATATTTTCAACATTCTAAACAGCATAATATTCTGGGGCGGTTGGCATGCTTTTATAAACATGCTTTCCCCACGTTTTTAGTACTATCGAAGTCTAGGTCTTCACAAAAACTGAACACTGCTCATTGAGACGTATGTGAAAGCAACTATGTAGGCATAATGTGTAATTTTGTGCTATTCTCACCAAACACAGGTTGGCACAAGATAAAAATGAAGAGAGAAGTGTTGTTGCTCTTGCTCATGCTCTGTTCACATGTCGTGGCCTTGAAGAAGAGGTGTAGTAATGTAGAGGTACAGTGGCAATGTGGGATACAGGGAATGTCTTCCCAGATGTGTGTTGAGTCTCTGGATGGGAGTATTACACTAATACAACACCGAGAAACCGTTTGTCAGAGTCAGCTCAGAGTCAACCTAACACTCTACTCTTCTTCAGAGACACTGAGCAGTAACGTGACATTTTCCAATGCTAACATCTCGCAGTTTGTTCTCGAATCACCCAATGGGACCCAGATACAGTGCAGACCTGGAACAGCCTCTCTCACATTCAATGGCGAACGTGGAAATGCAAGTAGTCTGATGGATATCCGTATTGAAAACATTGCATTCATTTCGTGTGGACCGGGAACTCACAAAACCGTTCCAGCCGCTCTTTTCTTCAACAACCACTGTCAGATTGCTATTCATCGTACACACGTGGACAGATCCAATGGCGTTGGTTTGGCAATTGTTGATGTGGTCGGGAAGGTAAGTATCTCCTGGTCGACCTTTTCTCGAAACACGTTCCAGAACGGATTTGGAGGTGGTGTTCATCTAACAATCGATACACTCTCAGATAAAACTGAGTTTATTCACTGCCTATTTACGGAGAATCAGGCATCTCTTCTTCAGCAAAATAACACCAAAGGTGGAGGGCTTTATGTACAGTACAGAAACGAATCTCGAAATGGCGTGTTGCACATACAAAACTGCATGTTTAGCTGCAATTGTGCTCATTGGGGAGGTGGACTACTAGCTATGTTCAATGAAAGTGCATACAACAATACCTTGCTGATAGACTTCACTACTTTCGAAAGTAACTGCGTCGGTTTAGACTACAATGACAGTATGGCAGGGGCCGGAGCTGCAGTTACTATCTACTCAAACGCAACTTCCAACAGAGCTCATTTCAGTAACTGCAACTTTACTGGAAATGTAGCTCCATGGGGTGGCGGGCTTTTTATTTTCTCACAGCCTGATCTTATTCTTAAAGACGTTGCTCAGAACTCTTTGAAAATTTCCGGATGTTTGTTTAAAAACAACTCTGGGCACATTGGAGCTGCTCTATACATATACTGTAATTCTCCTGCTAGCATTCCACAGCATTGCAATGCTAAACCAGTGATAGCCGAGTCGGTATTCGTTCAAAATTCTGACCTACCCAAGCCAGTGACATCAATAAGTCAGAGTCCTTATTCAATTTTTCACATTGGGCACTTTCCAACTTATTTAGCGCAGAAGCTCGAGTTTTTGAACAACGTTGGAACTCCACTACATATCCACGAGACCAGTGTAACACTAGAGAACGATACAGTGCTGAACTTTACTGCAAACTACGGAAGGAATGGTGGAGCTATCATGCTGTACGGGTCTTGGATCGCTGTCTCTAACAATAACGTGCTGTTCTTCTCGAAAAACAGGGCCGTGACTCGGGGAGGTGCAATCTATTCCTTCATGACTGAAGAAATTTACTTGCCCTACTCTCGGCACTGTTTCATCAAGAGCACGTCATCACCCGATCCAACACACTGGAACGTTAGCTTTGTGTTCAATCAGAAACACAGTCGATGGTAAACCCAATGCAATTTATGCGACTTCAGTGCTTCCCTGTGTCCTGTACGGTGGATCGTCGCTAGATGACGATATCAGACGAACATTTTGCTCCTGGAATAATTGGCAGTTTGGTGGGGGGAAATGCATGGATGAAATCTACACTTCTCCAAGGAATTTTAGCACCACACTTCAGAATATGCCAGCATATCCAGGTATTCCAAACAAGAATCTCATATATGCTGTGGATGACTATGGACATGACACTGATATGTTTTACGTCTACCCCAAGGTACTTGAGCCTAAAAATGCAACAGCCACAATCACCAACAGAGTTCTGACTGTGTATGGCAAAGTCGGTACCAACGTTAGTATTCAGCTGGAATTGATTGCAAGTAGAAAGCTGTTAATGACAATAAACGTGTCCCTCCAGCACTGTCCACCTGCATTCTTATTTGATCGTTTTACAAACTCTTGCATCTGTGACAATACTCATCATATCTACTGCGAGTACGGCTCGGACTCACGATGGAAAGCTTATGTTCTTGCAGGAAACTGCATGACTTACTCCTCAATCAAGATTAATGGTGTCCACGATAACCGCATTGTGTTCGGTCAATGTCCGTTCACTGAAGGTCTTCGAAGTTTCTCCAATCACTCCCACTTTATCCCTTACCTACCTCTTCCACTAGAGAAACACCAACTCGATGGTAAGTTCTGCAGAAAAATGAACCGGACAGGGATACTCTGCGGGAAATGCATAGCAAACTATTCCATCGACTTGCTCTCAACTACCTTCCGCTGTCACAACTGCTCAGGATCCCTCGTCCAATGGCTAATATACATCACAGCAGAAGGAATCCCTCCGTTGATTTTCTTTGCGATAGTTCTTGTCCTCCACATCAGTCTCACCAGTGGACCACTGAACGGATTCATTTTCTTCAGTCATATACTATCTATATCAGTGGAGATTGCTTTACTACAGGCAGCGTGTCTGAATACCTCATCAAAGTATGGACAGGTTTCGTCAAGCTTGATGATAAAAGTGTACAGTATATGGAGTCTCGACTTTTTCCGTTTAGCTGAAGGCTATTCACTAATGTGCCTAGGTCAACGTGTTAAAGTCATGCACGTGTTGGTGCTGCGCTACCTCTCAGCCTTGTACCCTCTCTGTTTTCTTGTCATTGCATTCACCGCTATTGAGCTTCACGCTCGAAATTGTCGAGTCTTGGTACGCCTGTGGAGACCACTCTGCTTCTCGTGTGCACGATTCCGACAAGTATGGAAAGCAAGAACATCAATCATAGATGCCTTTGCAGCGTTCATTCTCCTCTCGTACGTTAAAATAGTTCGAATTTCGCTGCTGCTGGTTACGTTTACTCGTATCTTAGTGCAAGATTCTGACAAGATTATTAAGGTCGTTAACTATGATCCAACAGTCACATACTTGAGCACCGAGCACATCCCATTTTGGTGCATTGCAGCACTATGTTTGTTCTCATTTGGAATGGTACCTCCTTTACTTCTCACTTTTTACCAATTCAAATTTTTTCAGAGGTGCCTTCACAGGGGAAAACTGAATGGAAACGGTCTTAGAATGTTTATGGATGCATTTCAGGGGTGCTACAAAGATGGCAAAGAGGGCGGACCCGACAGACGGTACTTTGCCGGTTTTTACTTCATATTCAGATTGGTGATATTTGGAATTTTCGATTTGGCAAACACAGTACCCAATGCGTACACATCTCTAATTACAGCATTTGTTACCTTTGGTGTAATTACTGCCATTGTGCGACCGTACAAGAAGCCTTTCTTCACGTATGTCGACATTGTATTCTTCAACTTGCTAGCAGTCATTATGGCTCTACAATACCTGGCCCTCTTCCTCACCACAGAGACAAACGACTTACCTATTCCCCTTCTAAGCTTCACTTTCACCCTCATCTTTATTCCCTTGGTGTACGTGTCTTTATTTGTACTTTACTGGGTCTCACGCAGGACTCCGAGGCCAGCCAAACAAAAGGTTCTACTTGCTTTTCGAAAAGTGCAGAGTTGCTTCCCGTGCCAGTCAAGGTACATTCAGACAAGTTTAAAAGAGTATTTTTCGCCTCTCTCTGACCAAGTTGGAGAGAGTATACCCGACCGACTGGAACATTCATATCGTTACAGAAGTCTCTAAACGTCTAAGTATATCTCCCTGACAAACAATAACTTAGTTATGTACTCAGTGATTCAGGGACTGTTTGTTCATTGTGTCTTGTTCATGAGCCAACAACACGGTCTTAAAATCTTATCAACTGAAAGTGTTTAACTCATTATTTGCTATTCCCAAACCTAAAACTATCAAGAACCAATATACTGTGTATATACGCACAAAGTTGTGTACACAACATGTAATGGCTGGTGTACCCGAAAAACCTCCGTAGGAGTTTTATGTAACACTTTGAGCCTTTGAAGCTGAGACAATTAATTGGGCAGGCACAATTTGGTTAATTCCTCTTTACAAGGTGGTTCAACTGCAAAAGCTGCTATCCTGTGCCTGCACGTGTAACATACTATATACTCAAAAGTGAGTATCAACACACATGGGAGTGTCTCCCATCTTTACACTATGGAGCTATGAAGGACTCACAAGTTCTGAGTATGGTGATGATACTTCAACGTATCGAATAAGGTAAAAATACGCTATCACCGCAGTCACGCGCAATTGACCAATCAGATTACAGAATAGCGGGGGGTTTATTTTTCATAGACACCTCGTTTCAGGTGTCTAATGGCGTTTGCAGGTGGTCTACAGCAAACTCCCCGTACAAAATGGCTATTCTCAAAAGTCCTTATCTGCGCAAATTGGCCGATTCCGCGTTCGGTAAGCGTAGAAGGCGCGACTTGTAAAGTAGCTCTTTTAAAATGCGCAAGAAGTCTGTGGACAGTCTCCGGAGCTCGCGAAAGTCAGAAATCACGTCAATATTCCACGAAAAAAGCGTCGGCTTCTTCAGCTCTGGCGATACACAAACACATTGGGCCGTTGCCGTGCGTTGCCAAACGCGCACCACCAATGAGAGCGTTTTATGATGACGTACACGATTTTTGACGGGGGGCGGGGCTGTCTCCTCGGAGTCGGACAAAATCTCACACGTGAAAAAAGCGTCTTGTTCCATCCGAAGGTAAGAATGAGCGCAGCGTTGCTAGCTTGTTGCTACCCATTTGAACGCGCAAACACCAATCAGATACTTCGGTCTAAACCGGTTAGAGTTACATTGCAACCCTCGGGACACGCCCTCGCTGCGCTCGGGACGCCAACATTCCACAGCCCCTCGGGTTGCCATGTAGCTTAGTGCATAGCTGATTCGAATCGACCGATCAGATTTGTTAGTACGAGGTTCCTGATTTCTCATATGAACCTCGTGAGCTAACAAAAGTAACATGAAAACATGATATGAAACCTTGTTTTTTCTGTTGATTTTCAACAAGTTCAACAGCATTTCATGTAAGAAATGTATCCCACAAAACATGATCTGTACAAAATGTTGATCAAAATAACTGATATCTTGATTTTCTTTTTCCACGAGACAGTTTTCTGTGTCTGCTTTGAGCCCATCTCCCTCCTTGCCATGTACATACATATTAGATAGCCAGGCAGCTCACGCCCGCCACAAACCACCGCACGCAAATAAGGGGTGGGGCTCCGCGAGCGAGTGCGCGCGACAAAGCTAGTAAGTCGACGGCGAACGCCTTCGGTATAGCAGCCCGCACAGCGCCTGAATTCACCTCTCTCTGATTGCGATGGTTCGCGCAGGTCTCCTGTCGCGTTTCTTCGGATGAGTGGCGGAGGACAGTCCCGCAGCGGGAGTAGCGAGAGCGGCGGAGCAGCGTATCCTAGCGTTCGGCGTTCAATAGTCCCGCACGAGATGACGGTCTTACGCTCTCGTCTCTTTCTCGCATCTTTCAAATTCCCTGTGCTTGGAAACGCAGTGCGCGTATACGGAGCTGATTTGCTCTGCACTAAACATCTTATGTACTCCGTATACTCGGGACATACCGGATTTCAATGAACCCTCGTGCCATCCGCGTAGTGCCCTCGCTGCGCTCGGGACACTACAAACGCGGAGGCCCTCGGGTTCATTGAAATCCGGTATGTCCCTCGCACGTAGTACATAACATATATGTAGACACCTCGCTTCCGCGTCTAACCTACTATATATAGTGTGTTGTGTATCTTTTCCAAATAGTTTTTTTGCAATACTGAAAATGCTTCCGTTTTGTTGCTTTCAAAACTTTCTCAGACTTTGTAGATTCTGAAGTACATGATATACAGTGTGTTATAATATACAAACGCATCCCCAAAGATAATGTTGCCAAAACAATGCTTGGGAATAAATAGAGTAGTGTTTTGGTAAAAGTGAAGTGAAAGTTGTAAGGGACTCCACATCGGTGACCATACAATTGGGTTGAGCGTTGTACCATGAAGTGCTGTCACCTACTTCTTCTGTCACTGTTTGCTTGTGTAGCAAGAGGAGTGAGTCAGTGCAGTAGCAGTGAATCAAACACCCCTGTCACTGTGGAGTGGTATTGTGGAGAACATGTCAAACCCACCAATGTTAGCTGTAGCTCATTGACTGATGCTCTGGCTTTCTCGGCCAACACGACCGCCACCTGCCCCCTGCCGACCATTTCAATACATCTGAACTCTGAAAAAGTGAAACTGGAGGCCAGAAGCTCGCAACAGTCACACCTCATCACAAACATGAGTCATTTTGGACTCATTGGAGTCTCTAACTCTAGCACAGAAGTTGTGTGTACCGACAGAGTGGCAATAAGGTTTGAAGGACAAGGAATGAGTGTAGAGATTCGAAATGTCTCCTTTCAGACATGTGGTGATACAACGGCTGCTCTCTTGTTTCATGGTACACTAGACGTTTACCTGGACCACTTTGAAGTCAAAAACTCTACAGGTTGTGGTGTCTCATTTCAAAATGTCGTGGGAGAAGTAAGAGTCAGCAACTCTGTTTTTACTGACAATAATGTTCATGACGGATACGGTGCTGGTGTTCAGATTCTGGTGGAACTTTCTCCAGAGCAAAAGTTTACAGCTAACTTCACTCGCTGCAACTTTACAAGAAACAGGAATGTTGGGATAAAGGGTATAACTTGGGAGCAAATAGACGGTGGCGGAATGTATATCAGTGTCAGAGGATTTACGAAAGAGGTTTGCATTAAAGTTCTGTCTTGTAATTTCGTTAACAATATTGCTAAGTGGGGGTCAGGACTGTTTATAGGCTTCTATCAAAGTGCATCAAACAGTACTATCGTGGTAAGTGAGACTTTCTTTCAAGGTAACTATTACAATAATACTACTATTAACACCAAAAATGTGTACAATGCTGGCGGTGGAGCACTTGCAACAACAACTGGTAATACCTCATCCAACATCATAATTTTTCAAAATTGTACGTTTTTAGAAAATTTTGCCACTTGGGGTGGTGCACTATCACTGTACGCGGCACCTAACAAAACTGTTGAAAAAGACGAGGTGAACAAATACTTAGTCATTAGTTGCACGTTTGAGAGAAACAAAGCCGCACTCGGTTCAGCAATGAATGTCTACTGTAAATCCGTTACTTCTGCTCCCGAATTTTGCAATGCCATTCCCTACATAAAAGGGCTAAACGTTTTCACAAACAATGGACAGAGGATCTCCAAAGAAGGGCATCCTTCTGCATCAACACTGGACATCAACGGCTTTCCCACCCACATCCTCAATGGTTCAACTTTATCATTCAGTGGAAATGATGGAACGCCACTTTGTATTCGCACCACAGCAGTTATCATAAAAAACGATACAAAGATGGAAATTTCATAGAAACACTGGAGAAATGGGCGGGGCTATTGCACTGTATGATCGTGGATGTCATGTCTTATGGCTGTAGGTTTAATTTCACCAACAACACTGCATTTGCTGAAGGTGGAGCAATTTATGCCCAGCAATCATCTGACTTGTACGTGCCCCACGTTCACAACTGTTTCCTTCGTTTCACGAACAATACGATTCCACCGTGGGACTGGAACTGCACATTCAGCTTTGCCGACAATATTGCAAGCACGAAACCAAACTCTATTCATGCCACTTCTGTCATTCCGTGCGAGTGGACTGACGCTCCAACAACGTTCTGTTGGGACAATTGGAACTATAAAATAAAAGCAACTGCAGCGATGAAATCACCACGTCTCTCAGAAATTTCAGTAGCACGCCCAACTCAGTGACCCTGTCCCCTGGTATACCGAAACCGTTTGTTGTGGGAGTTGACGATCTGGGACATCGAGTCAGCAACCTTTCTATTACAGCCACCCTCTGGCAAAACCCTAACCGTTACAACATTAGGGTGCAGTACAACGATTATGGTCTGGCTGTGTATGCTGATAGAACTGTCAAAAACACAACAGTTCTGATCCAGTTTAACGGGGACCGAAACCTTTTCAAGGTGGTGGGAGTGAACATCGGCGATTGCCCACCAGGATTTGGGTTTTCTAATGACCTGCGCAGTTGCATGTGCTACGAAAACATGCGGAACATTTTACAGTGTCACGGACGAAGTTGGAAAGCTTCACTGGTGAATGGATATTGCATGTCGTATTCGAAAATCAAAGGCAGGTACCAAACCGTTTATGGGCGGTGTGTGTTTAGTCATGCGCACACAAACTCGAACAAAAAGTACACTGACCTCCCTGAACATGAAAAACAATTAGACAGTCAGTTTTGTGGGGCTCTCAAACGTACTGGACTGTTATGCGGGGAGTGCAAGAAGGGTTATTCTATTGATGTATTCTCCACTACATATAACTGTCACAAGAACTGCAGTTCTTCGGCAGCTTCGTGGATCATATTCATAGCCATAAATGGACTCCCTCCCCTCGGACTATTCCTCACCATTCTCATACTACACATCAAATTAACAAGCGGAGTGTGGAATGGATTCATCTTTTTCAGTCACGTGGTCACTCTATCACAAGAAGCACTGGTGGTTGTGGCGATAATAAACATGCAGTTGAAGAGTTTTGACAGATTTTTTCCTCGACTTTCTCGTAGGCTTTTACAGTTTCTGGAGCTTGGACAATTACCGAATCTTCAATGCTCTCTCTGATGGATATCCAGTGTGTCTTGGTGAGAGACTGAGGGTCATTGATGTGTTGGTCTTGCATTACACCTCTGCTCTCTACCCTTTCCTTCTGATTGTCGTAGCATATGTTGTCATTGAGCTCCACGCCAGAAATTGCCGAGTCCTGGTCTGGCTATGGAAGCCGCTCTGTTTTGCCTGCACACGCTTCAGACAGTCGTGGAAACTGCAGACGTCGGTAGTCGATGCTTTTGCATCTTTCATCATTTTATCCTACGTCAAGTTGGTTCGCATATCTCTCCTTCTCGTTACTTATACAACTGTGACAAGAATCGGAGGAGATAGTTTGGAAAATGTCTTACGAGTCAGCAACTACGACCCTACAGTACATTACCTCAGCCACCAACACATCCCCTTCATATTCTTGGGAGTATTTTTCATCTTAACGTTTGGCATCTTACCACCGATGCTTCTGCTATTTTATCAGTTTAAAACGGTTCAGAGGTGCCTCAATCGTTGCAGGTTGAACCGTATTGGCCTCAAGACATTCATGGACGCTTTTCAAGGATGCTACAAGGACGGGAGGAATGGGGGAGCAGATCGAAGATTCTTTGCGGGACTCTATCTCATATTCAGAGTGATGATTTTCTTCATTTTCAATATGGAGATTGATCACACCATAACTTACTACTCCCTTGTCATCTTCTGCATAGTCATCATCTGCCTGCTTGCCTGGCTACAGCCTTACAAAGTAAACTTCTACAACAAACTCGACGTGTTTTTGATAGCTCTTCTGGCTGCCTTCTTTGGACTACACATTCTCGGATTTTTCTATCTGGAGACCACCCTTACCGTGCCCCATCCCATTGTCATCATTGGTGGCTGTCTCAGCCTCATGCCACTGTTCTACCTGGTGGGATTCGGTTGCATAAAAATACTGCGCAAGTGTTTCCACTTTGACCCAATTAAGACACTAACACTCCGAATACCAGAAATGCTTTCGTTGCAACACACGGACAGAGATAGGGCAGGGTCGAAGGTCCAATCACCACGACATAGTGTGACGTACTCTGAAGTTGATACACGTCAGTTGGTTGATTCCTGCTTGCTCCACGAGAGGCCACAAGACGCAGAGAACAAAGATTTGCTCTCTAGAGGGCGTGAGTCGGGTTATGGAAGCATAAAAGATACTCATTGACAAGTGTACATTATTATTATACCTTACTATGAACCTGTGAGTGGAGACATTTGCTTAGAGCTGTTGTCGTGTATGTATAATGTTTTTCATTATTATAATGATTCGTGCCATATTATTTATAATTATGAGGCCCGTGAAAATTTTGGATTGCAACACCTTATATACTAGTTACGTGATGATAAAAATAGGATAATGTTTGTCAAAACCCTGGCATAGCACAATCCACTGGCAAACCAGGGAAACCATAACCAATAGCTAGTATGTACAACATTTATACCTTTCCCAAAACCACTATAATTCACACTGTATGCTAGCTACAAACCCTTCAGCTACTTGCAAAAATGGCAGTTGAAAAGTAATGCGTAATAAAATGTAACGGTGTCTTGTACTAGGCGAGCAATTACTTATATCAAGATGTCTGAAGCACCCAATTCCTCGTATTCTTCCCGGTTAATGACACCTTCTTGTTTCGGCTTCCGCTGTGATACAAAGAATGTGATGTGTTGTAGATAATGTGACATACCTTTGGTTTTTAAAAGACTCATTATCTCCTTTGACCCCAACCAAACAAAGTACAAAAGAGGCACAAGCGAAAATAGTCCTCCCAACACAAAGCCAAATTCTGGGACTATTTCTTGCCAGTCGTAATAGAAGAGTGAAATGCTAAAACTAGCACAGATAGCCGTTGCAGACGATAACCACGCTATGTCCAGCTTGGTGTAGAAACTGTATTGCTCTTTATACGGTCTCACAAATAGGGTGATGAGAATGGCTCCAGTCAGAACAAGTGTAACCATTGGAAACAGGACGTTGCTAGGTGTCAAGGCATACATAATGGCCCCCACAATCCTGAGTGATGGGTAGACGACAGCGAAATACCTGCATTCCCACCCGCCGTCTGTTTTGTCGCGATAGTATCCTTGGAAACACTCCACTAACATCCTCAGACCTGGGCTGTTCAAGTGACACTTGTTGAGGAAGACTTGGAACAACTTCATTGGGTAGAGTAGCAGTAGAAGTGGAAATAAGATGGCCGTAAGGAGAACTGTTACGGCAATGATGAAATACGGCAAGTGTTCACGACCCATGAACTCAACAGTTGCATCATAGTACATGAAGTATCCAATCTGGGCACCGTGAATGTCAAATATACGTGTACCCACAATAAAACTGCCCGAAGTGCTTACAAGCTTTATAAAGGACAGCATGATAAAGGAGGCAAAAGCGTCAATTAGGGAGTGCCTGATATTCCATTGCTGTCTGATTCTCGCGGAGCACCAGAGGAAAGGTCTCCATAACCTCTCACTTAGCCTGTATCCTCTGTCATGTGCCGCCACTAGGGCGTAGAAACACACCAGTAGAAAGAGAGGATAGACAGCGATCAGGTAGTCTAGAGCAAACACTTGCATTGTGTTTAGTGGCAGGCAAATTGGAGGAACCAGTGCCCGGAAAAAGTCCAAGTTCCATATTCCGTAAATAGTAGCAAAAAACTGGATGAATGCAGAGTTTTGAGTGTTTTGCGTCAACTGTGTCAAAACTAGAAGACCGGCGGGCAAAGCATAAATCTGGCACAGAAGTATGGTGACGTTCAGACGTGGGGATGTGACTGATATGTGAAACACGACAACTATGAGTAGAAAGACCGTAAGAGGGACATAGGCCACAGTCACGTACACAACAACGTTACCCAGCCACCCTATGTGACATTTGTGGCACTTGAGGTCATAGGAATATGCAGAGATGAAGTGATTTTTCTTGCAAGATCCACACAGTCTTCCTCTGCGATTGAGGTAGTCACAGAGCTGGTGGTCCTGTCGCGAAAGGTTCCGGTCCACTTCGATGTACAGTCCAGCACTCCCATCAATGTACTCTTGGTTGTTTTGTGCATAGAGACAGCGACCAACTACAGCTCTCTTGGGATCTTGGACAGAGTCAAATGAGGTGAGACAGAAGGAGTTCATGATGCCAACCTCTTGACTGACATTGTTGCAGAGTATCACATTCAGGAGACTGCTGCCACAGGTACACAGCCCTTCCTCGGAGAGGTACAGCCAGGTCGGGCAAGATTCGTTGCTGGCGATAGCTCTTGGGTAACTACATGCACTGTCATGTATGTGGGTAAGAAATACAGCCGCTACAAGTAGACCTAGCATCATTCTCTCTGCGACTTAACTAGACAGCAATGTCTGACCTTACCTACACATGTTTGGTCGTTGGGTTGATAGTGAAACTGCTTACAGGGGGGATGTTTTACTGTCAGGCATGTGTATTCATAAGATGACTGAAAAAACAATACAGGGTTGTTGTGTTTAGGCTACAGCCACATACCAACCTTCTCATAAGCAAATGGACAGTTTATTGCAAAGCACTTGCATACCTACCAACATGCAGGGATATTTTCCTTGGGCCTTTTATTGGATTTATTTTCCTTGTTTATGATCTATTTTCCTAGATTATTTTCCTTGTTTATGATCGATTTTCCTTGATTACAATCTACTTTCCTTGTTTATTTTCCTTGATAATGATACTTTACAAAAACTGACTATCAGAGCGTCGGTAGACGCTCTAGCTATATAGGGATGACGCGTGTGAAATCTCACGTGATCCGCGTACAAAACGCCTCAAAACTTGGCGAGA